ACCTGAGCACAGTGATTATAGCTTGTAGAAACGTTGTACAGATCACCTGAGCACAGTGATTATAGCTTGTAGAAACGTTGTACAGATCACCTGAGCACAGTGATTATAGCTTGTAGAAACGTTGTACAGATCACCTGAGCACAGTGATTATAGCTTGTAGAAACGTTGTACAGATCACCTGAGCACAGTGATTATAGCTTGTAGAAACGTTGTACAGATCACATGAGCACAGTGATTATAGCTTGTAGAAACGTTGTACAGATCACCTGAGCACAGTGATTATAGCTTGTAGAAACGTTGTACAGATCACCTGAGCACAGTGATTATATTGTACAGATCACCTGAGCACAGTGATTATAGCTTGTAGAAACGTTGTACAGATCACCTGAGCACAGTGATTATAGCTTGTAGAAACGTTGTACAGATCACCTGAGCACAGTGATTATAGCTTGTAGAAACGTTGTACAGATCACCTGAGCACAGTGATTATAGCTTGTAGAAACGTTGTACAGATCACCTGAGCACAGTGATTATAGCTTGTAGAAACGTTGTACAGATCACCTGAGCACAGTGATTATAGAAACTTTGTACAGATCACCTGAGCACAGTGATTATAGCTTGTAGAAACGTTGTACAGATCACCTGAGCACAGTGATTATAGCTTGTAGAAACGTTGTACAGATCACCTGAGCACAGTGATTATAGCTTGTAGAAACGTTGTACAGATCACCTGAGCACAGTGATTATAGCTTGTAGAAACGTTGTACAGATCACCTGAGCACAGTGATTATAGCTTGTAGAAACGTTGTACAGATCACCTGAGCACAGTGATTATAGCTTGTAGAAACGTTGTACAGATCACCTGAGCACAGTGATTATAGCTTGTAGAAACGTTGTACAGATCACCTGAGCACAGTGATTATAGCTTGTAGAAACGTTGTACAGATCACCTGAGCACAGTGATTATAGCTTGTAGAAACGTTGTACAGATCACCTGAGCACAGTGATTATAGCTTGTAGAAACGTTGTACAGATCACCTGAGCACAGTGATTATAGCTTGTAGAAACGTTGTACAGATCACCTGAGCACAGTGATTATAGCTTGTAGAAACGTTGTACAGATCACCTGAGCACAGTGATTATAGCTTGTAGTAACGTTGTACAGATCACCTGAGCACAGTGATTATAGCTTGTACAGAAAGCACGTTAGAAACGTTGTACAGATCACCTGAGCACAGTGATTATAGCTTGTAGAAACGTTGTACAGATCACCTGAGCACAGTGATTATTATAGCTTGTAGAAACGTTGTACAGATCACCTGAGCACAGTGATTATAGCTTGTAGAAACGTTGTACAGATCACCTGAGCACAGTGATTATAGCTTGTAGAAACGTTGTACAGATCACCTGAGCACAGTGATTATAGCTTGTAGAAACGTTGTACAGATCACCTGAGCACAGTGATTATAGCTTGTAGAAAACGTGAGCACAGTGATTGTACAGATCACCTCAGCACAATGATTATAGCTTGTAGAAACTTTGTACAGATCACCTCAGCACAGTGATTATAGCTTGCAGAAACGTTGTACAGATCGCATGAGCACAGTGATTATAGCTTGTAGAAACGTTGTACAGATCACCTGAGCACAGTGATTATAGCTTGTAGAAACGTTGTACAGATCACCTGAGCACAGTGATTATAGCTTGTAGAAACGTTGTACAGATCACCTGAGCACAGTGATTATAGCTTGTAGAAACGTTGAGCACAGTGATTATAGCTTGTATAAACGTTGTTCAGATCACCTGATCACAGTGATTATAGCTTGTAGAAACGTTGTACAGATCACCTGAGCACAGTGATTATAGCTTGTAGAAACGTTGTACAGATCACCTGAGCACAGTGATTATAGCTTGTAGAAACGTTGTACAGATCACCTGAGCACAGTGATTATAGCTTGTAGAAACGTTGTACAGATCACCTGAACACAGTGATTATAGCTTGTAGAAACCTTGTACAGATCACCTGAGCACAGTGATTATAGCTTGTAGAAACGTTGTACAGATCACCTGAGCACAGTGATTATAGCTTGTAGAAACGTTGTACAGATCACCTGAGCACAGTGATTATAGCTTGTAGAAACGTTGTACAGATCACCTCAGCACAGTGATTATAGCTTGTAGAAACGTTGTACAGATCACCTGAGCACAGTGATTATAGCTTGTAGAAACGTTGTACAGATCACCTGAGCACAGTGATTATAGCTTGTAGAAACGTTGTACAGATCACCTGAGCACAGTGATTATAGCTTGTAGAAACGTTGTACAGATCACCTCAGCACAGTGATTATAGCTTGTAGAAACGTTGTACAGATCACCTGAGCACAGTGATTATAGCTTGTAGAAACGTTGTACAGATCACCTGAGCACAGTGATTATAGCTTGTAGAAACGTTGTACAGATCACCTGAGCACAGTGATTATAGCTTGTAGAAACGTTGTACAGATCACCTGAGCACAGTGATTATAGCTTGTAGAAACGTTGTACAGATCACCTGAGCACAGTGATTATAGCTTGTAGAAACTTTGTACAGATCACCTGAGCACAGTGATTATAGCTTGTAGAAACGTTGTACAGATCACCTGAGCACAGTGATTATAGCTTGTAGAAACGTTGTACAGATCACCTGAGCACAGTGATTATAGCTTGTAGAAACGTTGTACAGATCACCTGAGCACAGTGATTATAGCTTGTAGAAACGTTGTACAGATCACCTGAGCACAGTGATTATAGCTTGTAGAAACTTTGTACAGATCACCTGAACACAGTGATTATAGCTTGTAATCCGGAAACGTTGTACAGATCAGTGGAATAGATCAAAGGAAAACCTAGTGGTAGATGCAGTATATAGAAGTAAGGTTATAATCTGTGTTTTGAAGATGTCGGTCATGGCGGCTATGTTTGATTTCGAACAAAACCTACAATAACCAACACTTTGTTAGAACTACATTGCATTGCAGGATAAATTCAGGCAACTTCAGCTCAATCCCAGTGACGGAACTCGAGAGGTTTGAAAGAGTTCAGGAAAACGATAGTAGCACAATCATTTGACAAATGGCAGCCGAGACTGTCATATCAAATTTTCGATAAGACCAAACAATAACTCTGTGTTGGCTTCCATTCCTTAACATCATCACCTATATTCAGCTAATTGGCACTTGAACTTGAAACGTTTGAAGTGTTTTTAAGGACGATGGCCATGGCGTCTATACTGGATTTTAGACTGGCTCAAATGTTAATAGGTCAGAGCCACCTTAGGGTTGAGCTGAATCCCACGGGTGAAATCCGATAAGTTTGAATAGGTTTTGTTTAGGAAAACCATGGTTGCACAACTATATTACAAAATGGCCGCCGTGATGATCCTGTATACGTTTCAAGGAAGCCGAAACGTAACTGCAGTTTCTCCGCTTCCTTTCCTTAACATCCCCACCAATTTTTAAATCAATGGTACCAGTGAAACTTGAGAAGCTAAAATATGTTAAGGATGGCCGCCATACTGGATTTCGAACCGACCCGAAAAATAACACTTCGTAGGGACCATCGCGGAATCATTTCTTGCAAGTGTTCGTGAAGACCACAAGTAGAACTTAAGAAGTTTAGAATATAAAAAGTTTACGTACAACGACGAACGAAACCCGATGGCTATATGTCACCATGGCCGTTCACGAAACCCGATGGCTATATGTCACCATGGTCGTTCACGAAAACCGATGGCTATATGTCACCATGGTCGTTCACGAAACCCGATGGCTATATGTCACCATGGCCGTTCACGAAACCCGATGGCTATATGTCACCATGGTCGTTCACGAAACCCGATGGCTATGTGTCACCATGGCCGTTCACGAAACCCGATGGCTATATGTCACCATGGCCGTTCACGAAACCCGATGGCTATGTGTCACCATGGCCGTTCACGAAAACCGATGGCTATGTGTCACCATGGCCGTTCACGAAACCCGATGGCTATATGTCACCATGGCCGTTCACGAAACCCGATGGCTATATGTCACCATGGCCGTTCACGAAACCCGATGGCTATATGTCACCATGGCCGTTCTTGTCAAATGGCCTTTAACCCAACTTAAGAGTGAAAAAATAATGAGAGGAGAACGTGTTCAAAAAGAGCTAGCCAAATATAGATAAAATAATTTCAAGGTAGGAAGTGTTGTAAAAGAGCAAGCTAAATACAGATAAAAACATTTCAAGGTAGAAGGTGTTGTAAAAGAGCAAGCTAAATATAGATAAAAACATTTCAAGGTAGAAAGTGTTGTAAAAGAGCAAGCTACATCCAATAAAGGAGTTATCACTATATCGGTGTGAATTTGGGCAGTCTCAATTAGCAGGCTTTGATATGGTGTGATAAAATTTGGAATAAATAAGTGACTATCGTCTACTATCTACTTTTCCTGGAGTACATTATACTATGTCTCCTGTTCCCCATTTTTCTGTTTGATGATTAAAAAGGTCACGCTTTCAATGAAATACGCGACTAATATATATTTATCTTAAATCTTGTTTTTATATATTTGGTACTTGTTATACAATGATAGCCTTGATAATTCAAGCAGTCAGGTTCATGATGCTAACACTATTCACTGTGACATACAAGACACTACAAGTACTATCATCTTTCCAGGAGTACATTATACTATGTCTCCTGTTCCCCATTGTTCTGTTTGATGATTGAAAAGGTCACGCTTTCATTGAAATACGCGACTAATATATCAATGTTCAACAGCAAATGCTGTTTATCTACGAATCCCTACATCGACCACACAATAGTATTAAGCGGTCACTGTGTACCATCACACAAAGGCCACTTCACCTTTCCTGGGCATTGTCAAACACTCCTTTAACTGCTCTTGCTATGTTTTATATATTCTGTGTTTGGAGTATAACGTTATTGGTGGTAGAACTACAACTGTGAATAAAAACTAGAAATGTGTAGAACATCGGCCATACTACCGCTCGGAATATTAACTCTTGTTGTTCTCTCTAGTGCCTACGTACAAAATACTCACGAGTTGTATACGACGCTTTTTGAGAACTACACGAACATATTGAGGCCTGTGCAAAACGAACAAGAAACTGTTCGAGTTTCTGTTAAATTTCTTCTTCGAGGAATTAGCGAATTTGACGAAGTGCGTGGCCAGTTGTCATTGGCTACTGCTGTGGACTTACGGTGGCGGGACACAACTCTAAGCTGGAATAGGACAGAATACAGTCCGCGCGTTCTGGTCCTGCCCGAAACACAAATTTGGACACCACGATTAGCTCTGTCCAATCCCACTAACCGAATACTTCTATTCTTTGAAGACTCGTTTCCAGTTCGGTTATATTCGGATGGCTCCGTGATTTGGGTGCAAGGCGGTACTATTATTTCTACCTGTGTGCCCAATGTGGAGAAGTACCCTTTCGATGTTCACAAATGTTACTTGGTTATACTAGTAATACCTTACACCCGTGCTGAGGTCCAACTTTACCCGTCAATCGGTCTGTCCACCTTCGAGAAGTTTGGTGAGTGGGAGCTCGGTAATAATAGTATCGAAGAACAATTATATGGCGGATTTTTCTCCTCTATTGTGATTAGTTTAGAAATCAAAAGGAGACCGGAATTTTCTCTCTTAAGCACAATCTTGCCTATACTGTTCCTAGGTGTTCTCAACGCTTGTGTGTTCCTTCTACCACCAGAGCAAGGGGAGCGCGTGTCCTATGCCCTCACTGTCCTTCTATCCTTTGCGGTCTTTCTGTCCATTATCAGTAGTGTCATGCCAAAGAACTCCGAGCCTGTACCTATTCTATGTTATATCATCACTGCCATGATGGCCATGAGTGGACTCAGCACTATATGTACTGTATTGTGTCTCCGCTGGTACTTCGCCGATCAGAAACAATCAGTTCCTTATCTACTGACCATAATGTGCCGAAAACGGAAAGGAAAACGGAGACACCAGAATTGTGACATTACCAGTGACACGGCACCTCACAAAGAGAACCAAACAGAGTCAACACAACTCGGGGAATGTCGAGTCACGTGGAGGGACGTGTCTGCGACCTTTGATATTGTATGTTTTGTTTTTTACTTAGTAGTGGTTTTTGTTCTTGTTTTTATATATTTGGTACTTGTTATACAATGATAGCCTTGATAATACAAGCAGTCAGGTTCATGGTGCTAACCCTATTCACTGTGACATACTAGACACTACAATTACTCAGGTACACCGGCTTACACCAATCACTGTGACATACTAGACACTACAAGTATCCAGGTACACCGGCTTACACCAATCACTGTGACATACTAGACACTACAATTACCCAGGTACACCCACCGTCTTACACCAATCACTCTGACATACTAGACACTGCAAGTACTCCGGTACACCGTCTTACACCAACCACTGTGACATACTAGACACTACAAGTACGCAGGTACACCGTCTTACACCAATCACTGTGACATACTAGACACTACAAGTACCCAGGTACACCGTCTTACACCAATCACTCTGACATACTAGACACTACAAGTACGCAGGTACACCGTTTTTCACCAATCACTGTGACATACTAGACACTACAATTACTCAGTTACACCGTCTTACACCAATCACTGTGACATACTAGACAATACAAGTACTAAGGTACTCTGCCTAACACCAATCATTGTGTACTTGATATTTTAGGTAGTCACGTGCACCGCCTTACACCAATCATTGTATATTTAATATTATAGGTAGTCACGTGCACCGCCTAACACCAATCATTGTATATTTAATATTATAGGTAGTCACGTGCACCGCCTAAAACCAATTACCGCTATACAAGAAATAAACAGAGAGTCTGGCACACCATATTAACATCAGTAATTGTGATATATTAGACATTACTGATGTAACCAATCACACACCGTGTAGTGTTTCAATTATTTATCAGTCAAGTGTGGCCTTCAATATATTTACTTATGTATGCAGATGACATGGTTACTTTATCTGAAACACCCGATGACTTATGAAAATGTTAGATTCATTTGCAGAGTATAGCAGAAAATGGAGTTATATTAGTAGGACCAAAAATAGTCATCTTTACGAATGGTGGTTTAATATGTCCGACCGAGAAATGGTTTTACGATAATAAGGATATTGAAATAGTCGGTGATTTTAATTTCTTTAAATTTAAATGGAAATTTATAAAAAAAAAAAAAACTCAAAATAAACTTGCAGGACACGGTCGAAAAACATTATACGCGGTGAATAATGTTTGTAGAAAGAATGTTTTTAATATTGAATCTCGTCTTGCTGTTTTTGACACTTATGTAAATAGTATTTTAATGTATGGTTCTGAAATCTGGGGTTACCACAAAGCTCCAGATATTGAAAAACGCCGTATCTCATTTCTTAAGCCATCAATAAGAATACGACAAACAACAAATACTGCCTTTTTTTAGACACTGAGTGGGCAATATTTCCCTTGGAAATGTTCAGAAAAATAAAAAAAAAAAAATCAAATATTGGCTAAACCTGAAATGTTCTAATAATTGTGTACTCCAATAGTGTTATGATGATATGGTGGAAAACAATGACCCTTGGATCCTTAATTTAAAACGTGACTTTTCAACTGTCGGCCTTGAACACATGTTTGAAGATACCAATAACAGTTCTGCTAGATTTCATAGTTATTTTTATAAACAACGTTTATTTGACAATTTTCATCAAGAATGTCTTACGAAAGCTAATTCTTCATCCACAGGATTTCTTTACCAACATCTGGTTGAAAGTATTAAACTACAGTCATACCTATATATGCCAGTGAATTTAATTCTCAGAAAATTATTTACAAGATCCTACATGATTAAGCAATTGAACGTGGGCGATACAGTGACGTACCAAGGGAAAAAGAAAGTATATTTTATGTAAATAGAACCATATAGAAGACAAATATCATTTTATTATTGATGTACGTGTTCTGCAGATATTCATGGCAATTTTATGAAGCCACAATAGCTTAATAAGCCTAGTATGTTTAAATTCATTCAGTTACTCAATGTCGAAAATACAGAACTTTATAATTCAGGAAAGTATCTAACATCAGCAAATGAACGTAGGAAAGATTTATTGTCACAATTTAATTAGTATTTTCGTGGTTTCCTCCAAAAATATTATACCAACATTAAGAATGATAAAATAGTGTGTTTGATGGTAAGAGTGTGAGTGTCTTTGTCCTTTTACCTGTTACTTATCCAATAAGTTGTATAACTTACGGAAATTATTTGAATTGAAAAGTGTACCTCTACCGTATCGATCAGTCAAGTGTGACCATTGATGTACCGTGTACCGTCTCCTGTATAAATCAGTCAAGTGTGACCATTGATGCACTGTGTACCGTCTCCTATATAAATCAGTCAAGTGTGACCATTGATGCACTGTGTACCGTCTCCTATATAAATCAGTCAAGTGTGACCTATAAATCTTTTAAACTTTGAAACAGATTATATTTGTAAAACAAATGCTGATCGATTTCGGGTTAAGTCATATTTGTTCTTTTCAAAATATAACTACTATGAACAAAACAGATTTACATTCTCTTTCTAAAAAACCAAGATGGCTGCCAGAGAATACAGTCATCGTGAACAAAGCATCATGGAAACGAAGTTATAAGAAACATTCTACTTGCCGAACTTTTCTAGATTGTTATCTCGTAATCTTGAGAAATATAAGTCTACTTTCTCTTGATTAAAATACTCTTGGGATTCTCAGGACTAGGTGGATCAACAGGAGCAGAAGGAAACCATCCCATAATACAAACCTCTTTCAAGATGACGTTGTGAAAACTAACCTGACAGTCTAAATACACACGTTACAAGCATGCCAGAACTCCGTAACGTCATTAGAATTAACTGACAGTCCAAATACACCATCTCAGGTAACATCATCCAAGGAGTCAGTTATCTCAAGTAACATCCTCCCAGGAAGACCACTATCTCGGGTAACATCCTCTCAGGAAGACCACGATCTCGGGTAACATCCTCTCAGGAAGACCACGATATCGGGTAACATCCTCTCAGGAAGACCACTATCTCGGGTAACATCCTCTCAGGAAGACCACTATCTCGGGTAACATCCTCTCGAGAAGACCACGATCTCGGGTAACATCCTCTCAGGAAGACCACGATCTCGGGTAACATCCTCTCAGGAAGACCACGATATCTGGTAAAATCCTCTCAGGAAGACCAGGGTCATGGGTAAATTCCTTTCAGGAAGACCAGGGTCATGGGTAAATTCCTTTCAGGAAGACCAGGGTCATGGGTAACATCCTCTCAGGAAGACCACTATTTCGGGTAACATCCTCCCAGGAAGACCAGGATTTTTGGTAACATCCTCACAGGAAGACCGCTATCTTGGGTAACATCCTCTCAGGAAGACCACTCTCTCGGGTTCATCCGCTCAGGAAGACCACTCTCTCGGGTTCATTCCTCAGGAAGACCAGTGTCATGGGTAACATCCTCTTAGGTCTTCGCTACCTCGGGTTCATCCTCTCAGGACTAGTCAAATCTGGTTCTATTTTTTAAAACACTCCTCTTAGAAGAGATTCAGCATCTCCAACCTCATGAGAATATTACAATCAACAGTAAGTGGAATAATATTTCTCAAGATAACAATCTAGAAATGTACAATGGGATCTAATGTTTCATGTGGCATACGACCATCTTGAATGATGCACCATAGGAGCGAAAAATATACTATAGAATCATCATACCTACTATTTGGACATACTATTATAGATACCAGAATCTACAAGAAGGACATGTGTACTTTCAATTTGTAATTACACTTACTAAATAATGTCAGTAACTTTATTGAAAAATTAGCTTAATTACTATAAGCATTTAAATTTTTGAAATATTACTTTTTTTAGAGTAGTAAAACACCCGTACAATTTTTGCTGTTAGGAATTATTTGTGGTGTTCTTTGGTCTGTTTTGGTATGTTTTTCCTACCAATGTATAAAATGTAGCATCAGACCATTTGTATAGAAGATGACCTCTTACAGTACATACATATGCCTGCGTGAAGTCCTAATTGTTAACATTGATGTACTAGACACCGTCTCTTAAATTGGCCAGTCCCAAGTGACCTATAACAGTGTACAGTCTCGTGTGTCGATATCGTATGATCCATCATTTTGGCTTTGTGTGATAACATTTACTTTTGAATTCAATCTTGTCCGATGTTGTTCTGGCTTTAAATTTGTAAAATAATGATATTCCTCATAAATCAAATTGAAAGGTTTTAAACTTTGCTTACAAGAAAGGCCATCAAACTTGTGGAATCAGTATCATTTACCAGAACGTCACCTGAAAGTTTACAATTTTGTTAAGAATAGATCATCTTCATATATTTAACAATGTATGATTTGACAAGTAAGACAGATATTAAAACATGGAATACATTTGTAAAAAAAATAACAAAAATAGCCCACCATTTTAGTATATATAGATGTGACTCTTGTAATGTTTTACAAAACCCGAGTTATGCCAGATCGTGGTTTTTGTGTTGTATATAAATGTTGTTGATCATGCATATAATGATATATTACAGACTGTACAACAGACGCCTAAGTATATAAGTATTCACATGTGAGATGGTGTCAGTGTACTTCCGGTCTGTGTTATCTATGCCGACATTAGACCTACAATGCGGGACAATATCCAGACGTCATCATTTCTGTGCATTTTTCGACGGAAGTGAATTAAGTATCAATGTTGATGTATATTAATGAAAGCCAATAATTTTATCATTTGCTTGCTGAGGACAAGCGCTGATTGGTCAAAAACATACAATTTTATCCAATCCCGGAATATGCTTCTGGATTGGGTGATGAATGTACCATCTTATAGTGTAAATTAAAGAAATCCCAATGAAATGATGTCATAACTGAATCCCCTTCATGTAATAAACATTCATATTATGAAACTGGTCTGAATATTTTTCCTGTCGATGCAAACGAAGAAACCTAATATTGTTTTATAAATGCAGAAAAAACTCCTGATTTTTTCACTGTAAATAACACTGTTGGTCTGTTTGTGCTGTTCGGAACAATGACGAAGTGTTCCTCAGTTTAGGCCCTTTCACAAACTCTCATAACATCTGCTGTTATCAGTTGGAAAGCCGTGTGTAAGTCACTGAAATATATCTGCCATCTATAAATTAAAAAACTCTTTTTTATCAGGTTAACCTTCACCATCGCCAATCTATAAAGGACTTGGAAAGCTACTCTCAAACCTCAAGACACCGACGCAGTTCTATTTACTAAACAGTGCAACAGCTAGCTGTTGTATACCATAGTGTAGAGTGTTATATAAGTGACAGAACGTTATAAATTGTTACTTTGTATGTAGAATATGACTGAGAAATTCACGCCATATCATAGATGTCTTAACACTTGTCATTTTTGCCCTAAAATTCTACATCAGAGAAGTATTTAGTTGCATATAGATGATGCTTGTGTTTGATATCAATTCTACATTTGTGTTGTCATGGTAATACGTTTGGACTATCTATCGATTGTTAGAATAAATATTTCGATCTGGAAAACCTCTTTGTTTTATTTGACAAGTCGTTCAATTATATCAAATCATATCTGTGTTCCTGCTACAAAATCCTACAAAAGCTACATGTGTTTGTTCATATCACCAAGATTGAGCAAACACGTGTTAATTATAGTTATCCATAACTAATTAACTTAATCCTTAATTTTAAATGTGTGTTGAGATGCCCATAGATCGATAAATGCATTCTATGGGTTTTGTTATAAAAGCGCGATTAGGTTTGGTGGTTTTTTTCGTTCGACGAAAGTGCTGCCGAAGCTACGCTACTGCGGCTACAGGAAAATCCCGACTAAGTACAGACTCCGTCGTACGTAACCGCGGCTATAGGAAAATCCCGACTAATTACAGACTCCGTCGTACGTAACCGCGGCTACAGGAAAATCCCGACTAAGGACAGACTCCGTCGTACGTAACCGCGGCTACAGGAAAATCCCGACTAAGGACAGACTCCGTCGTACGTAACCGCGGCTACAGGAAAATCCCGACTAAGGACAGACTCCGTCGTACGTAACCGCGGCTACAGGAAAATCCCGACTAATTACAGACTCCGTCGTACGTAACCGCGGCTACAGGAAAATCCCGAGTAAGTACAGACACCGTCGTACGTAACCGCGGCTACAGGAAAATTCCGACTAATTACAGACTCCGTCGTACGTAACCGCGGCTACAGGAAAATCCCGACTAAGTACAGACTCCGTCGTACGTAACCGCAGCTATAGGAAAATCCCGACTAATTACAGACTCCGTCGTACGTAACCGCGGCTACAGGAAAATCCCGACTAAGGACAGACTCCGTCGTATGTAACCGCGGCTACAGGAAAATCCCGACTAATTACAGACTCCGTCGTACGTAACCGCGGCTACAGGAAAATCCCGACTAAGTACAGACTCCGTCGTACGTAACCGCGGCTACAGGAAAACCCCGACTAAGTACAGACTCGCACGCAAAACCAGCTTTCAGGATCTGATTCAAGATTTAATTGGCATTCGTCACACTAGTGTGTAAAATAAGAAGTTAAAACAGTCTACAGGTTGGAACAGATCGTGTCGGAATGTTTGATATACATTGATAAAGAGTTTGTAGAGTTCAGCGAGCTGAATCATAAAAAAAACATAGAAAAACAAAGTTAGGCTGTCTTGAACACCTTCTATAGATAACCAAGAAATAAATTACATGTCGTTAATAACCACTTATTACGTCATTGTAGCCGAGTTTAATTTGTGTTATCTGTACAGTTCGTACCCGTGTATGTATATACTGCGATTCACGTGTTCAGATCGCGTAATAAGACAATTTGTTACTATGATGGTGTCGAGAATTTCTAGCTATCTATCACTACAACTTCCAAACGTCTTTTTTCTTTCTTTTTTTTTGTATGTCGTAGTGGTGTAGTGGTAAGGCAGTTAAAGGATTTCTTGGCTAGGCAATTTGGAGTCGAAGACCGTGAGTTTTAAGCCCGGTAAGGGCGTGGGTGAAAACGATCTTACTTCAAAAATTGCGTGCAAATATATATACATTGTTTATATTTGTATAACCTATATAAACCATATACTTACATATTCCAAAGCTTCCTTTTATCAGTTTAACAGGTACTCTCTTCTGTAGTTACCAATATTTAGCTCGAAGATTCCGTATCAAGACACGCACAATGAGACAAAAATGGCTTAAACACATGGGGGAGGGTTAGCATAGAGAAATGTGTTGCAAATACTGAAACTTGGAAAGGCCTCGGGCCAGGATGAAATTAGTCATTATATGCTAAAAAATGTTTGTAATACTGTTTGTAAACCACTTGAGTTACTATTTAATATGTCACTCTCTGTTGGTGTTTATCCCAAAGTATGGAAATTAGCTAAAGTTATGCCGTTGTTTAAAAAGGGTGATAGACACTCTCCTTCTAACTACAGGCCAATATCTCTACTGTCTACTGTTGGCAAAGTTTTCGAACGTGTAGTTTTCAATCATATCTATAATTATTTCATAGAAAATTCGTTGTTTTATCAATATCAGTCTGGTTTCTTGCCCGGACATTCTACTTTATATCAACTGATTGAAATGTATCATAATACATGTCTAGCACTCGAAGAAAAAAAAACATACATGTATCGTCTTTTGTGACATCTCAAAAGCTTTTGATAGAGTTTGGCATAAAGGTTTGTTTATTAAGTTAAAATCCTATGGAATAGACGGAGAGCCATTGGCTTGGTTGAAAGACTATTTACATCAGAGACATCAAAAAGTGTGTTTTAATGGGTCTTTTTCTAAATTAGGTTTTATAGATGCTGGGGTTCCACAGGGTTCTATTCTTGGCCCTCTTTTATTTCTAATTTATATTAATGATATAGTAGATGTATTCGATTCAGCTTCAAGACTTTTCGCAGATGACACTTCTCATCAATGTTCTTCTTCCTCCTATCAAGAAATTCAAACTATCCTTAACAAAGACCTTGAATCTCTTAATTCATGGGCTAAAACATGGCTTGTAACTTTTAATCCTGACAAAACGGATGTACTTTTCATCTCTAATAATAATGAAATAGAAGGTTTATTAGAATTAGAATTTGATGGAAATATTTTAGATTTCACTGATAGTCACAGACATCTAGGTGTTATTCTCAACTCAAGTATTAACACATTGTGATTTAGATTTGATATTGTATGGTAATAATGATCTTTCTCTTGAAACAAACTCGAAAATTGTTTTGAATGTCCAAAACTTTATTAAATCTAGTAATAGGTTCACTTGACGTCATCCGCCTAAACTACCCCCTCTCTCTCTCTCTCTCTCTCTCTCTCTCTCTCTCTCTCTCTCTCTCCCTCCCTCCCCGCAAAATATGTAGTTAGTGTATTTGTTGCCATATGGCTATTGCGTTGTCTAACTATATTTTGTTATATATTGGGGAAAGGGTGTTTCATAAGTTGTAATAACTTGTACCTAATCCTCTGGTAATAATTTCTGCAATAAAATATGTTTAATTAAAAAAAAAAAAAATCATAGAGAAATCTCATCAATCTTTAAAATGTTCGCTTTTGAATCCTCCATCCCTCGACGGATTTCATCCAATAGTACACTTGCCTCAAATCAAGATTGAGGTGCGTTTTAAGAACTCTGGGACATGTGTATTTGGATTGTTAATTACGTCATCTTAACGATGACGTCATTATTACGTCATACAACTAGTGCGTACTGATGAAGCATGGAACTGAGTGTCGTTTGTATATTTTCGTTTTTCCATTTGGCCGTTTCCACTATGGATATGAATATGAAGGAAATGGAATTTATTGCCAACGAGTTGTCGCCAAAGGAGTGTAAAATGCTGGCAGAGGCGTTACATAGAAAGAAATTTCAGTTGCGGCAACCTGTAACAGGCGTTGGCGAAGCAGATGGTACTTGTCTGAGCAAGTTACTCCATTGGGATAGCACGGAAGGCAAAGGTAAAACATTCAACATGCTTGCATTAAGACTTAGTCAAATTGGTAGAAATGATATTGCGGACAAAATTTCAAAAGAAATATATCACGAACAAGCTGAAGCATTACATAAAAATTTCCTGGACGATCCATTTCGATCTATGATAGTCACCAACTCAATTCTACTGACCAATGATCAACCTGTTGAAACTATTGGGAAGTCAAATGTGGTCGATAATTCTTTATCAACTACTGGGCTGGCGATGGTCATTATAGGGACTCTGTCTTTATTCTTGCTTATAGTGGTCGTTTTTCGTAAATGTTGTCCTGGTTGTTTTTGTCGGACTTGGCGAAGATTGGCTCCAGATACCGTGGTCGATGTATGTGATCTTTGTTGTGGGGAAGTCCATGTGTGCTGTGTTGAGATGAAAAGAGATTATAAACAGTTTGTTGTTGGGGTAAAGCCAGTGGAAGAGGATGTTCTAGCACTACTGCCAAGTATAGAGGAATCGGTAACGATACAGCCAAACGCCGAGTGAGCTTGTTAACTAATTACCAAATAAAGAGGACTCGGGAACTGTACAACAAAACACCGATTGAACTTGTTAATTACTACCAAATAAAGAGGAATCAGGTACTGTACAACAAATCGCCGAGTAAGCTTGTTGACTTACTACCAAATAAAGAGGAATCAGGTACTGTACAACAAAACGCTGAGTGAACTTGTTAACTGACTACCAAATACAGAGGACTCAGGTACTGTACAACAAAACTCCGAGTGAGCTTGTTAACTGACTACCAAGTAAAGAGGAATCAGGTACTGTACAACAAAACACCGAGTGAAGTTGTTAACTGACTACCAAATACAGAGGACTCAGGTACTGTACAACAAAACGCCGAGTGAACTTGTTAACTGACTACCAAATAAAGAGGACTCGGGAACTGTACAACAAAACGCCGAGTGAACTTGTTAACTGACTACCAAATAAAGAAGACTCAGGTATGTACAACAAAACGCCGAGTAAGCTTGTTGACTTACTACCAAATAAAGAGGACTCAGGTACTGTACAACAAAACGCCGAGTGAACTTGTTAACTGACTACCAAATAAAGAGGACTCGAGAACAACAAGACGCCGAGTGAACTTGTTAACTGACTACCAAATAAAGAGGACTCAGGTACTGTACAACAAAACGCCGAGTGAACTTGTTAACTGACTACCAAATAAAGAAGACTCAGGTATGTACAACAAAACGCCGAGTAAGCTTGTTGACTTACTACCAAATAAAGAAGA